TTGTCCCACAGCAGGGGGAGGGAGGGGTGACTCCAAGCCTGCCCAGCAGGGCATCCAGTCAAGGGGGGCATGGCGCCAGAGGGCGTCTAGACCCAAGGAAACCTCCTATAATAATAATAATAATAATAATAATAATAATAATAATAATAATAATAATAATAATAATAATAATAATAATAATAATAATAATAATAATAATAATAATAATAATAATAATAATAATAATAATAATAATAATAATAATAATAATAAGGACGGGAGTGCCTGTCTGTCTGTGCCAGGCCTAGCTCGTCAGAAAACCAAGCCATGTGCCTCCCAACTGGCCACCACATTTGGGAAGATAGTTTGGGAAGGAGAACACCCTGGCCTAGAGAAACTCTGGAACATCGCTGGGCTCCTTGCTAGGGAAGTGTCTTTGCCAGGGGAAGGATGCTTGTCCCACAGCAGGGGGAGGGAGGGGTGACTCCAAGCCTGCCCAGCAGGGCATCCAGTCAAGGGGGGCATGGCGCCAGAGGGCATCTAGACCCAAGGAAACCTCTTTGCCCACGGCGCCGCTTAGGAAGGAGCTGAGTTCCTGCTGGGAATCCACAAGCACAGCCACAGAAGGCAGCTAAAGGAGGCCGGGGGAGCATGCTCCTTACTGGCCATCTCTTCCTTTTGTGCCATTTCCAACCCTTTCCCCTTTTAACTATGCTGGACGACCATCTTTCGGGTATGTCGTAGGGCTATCTTCCGACTCTGCTCCTGCAGAGTGCAAGGGGTTGGACTAGACGACCTGCAAGGTCCCTTCCAACTCTAACACTCTATGATTCTATGAAAACTCCATTGCTTGGCTCCAGCATCCCCTCCTCCTGTTTTCTGTTGGCCGTTTTATTGGCCAGCAACTGCAGGATGATGATGGGAGTTCTAGTGTCCAAAACGAAGGAAACGGGAACACCCTCGGCCAGATTATTCCCCCAAACGTCCCTGGGCTCTTTGCAATGGAAGCCGAGGGGTTCACTTGCTAGAAGTCGTGACAGTGGAGGGGCCCCCCCAGACAGGGAGGGTGGAGGGTTTCACCTCCTTCACAAACCAAGAGGGGTTTAATTCAACAAATTCCCTGAGCTCTGCTTCGTTCCTTTACCTGTGGCTCTGCACTTCCTGACATGGGACCTTACAGTGGTCCTGGCATCCACGGGAACTTTTCAGAGTGTCTTTTGTTTTTAGAGACTTCTGCTGAAATCAAAGTCTTCCCACAAGCCAAAGCAAAGCCTCAGCCGCAGCTGAGCACTGATGGAGGAGGCAGCCAGTGTGAATGCTGGTGTTCAATTACTTTCGTCAGCCCTGACCTGAATGGGCCAGGTAGCCCTCCAGGTTGGGGAATCCCTGGAGATTTGGACAGTGGTGGACCTACGTGTTTGGGACCCTGAAGCTCGAACTGTTCTGGGGCCCCCGTTTCAGCCAGCAACAACAGGGCAACAACCAACAAGATCCAAACAGCCTTGCTGCCTTTGCAAGGACCTCGAGGCCCAAATGGTGGAGAATGGGGTGGTGGTGTGGGGTCCTTGAAAATGGGCCATACAGTGAGCCCCCTTCCCACCAGCAATGAGGTCTGGGTAACCACCGTTATCTTCTTCAATGGGGTTGTTCCATGGCAGATCACCACAATTAAAAAAAAAAAAAGATTAACCAAGCCCCTGAGCAAATTTTGAAATTTGACCCGTTGCAGGGACACTTTGAGGCCATGTGAAATGGGTATTGGAGCATATTCTAAGGTCAATATTCAGTACTTCAACCCATTGACTTATGATTCTGTTACCAAAATTGCCTTATTTTAATAACCAACAGTGGCGGAACGGGCCTGCGTCAGCTGGCAGGCCCCGCTCCACCCACCCCTCCTTTGCCTGACCTGGCACCTGAAGGGGCAGTTCTTCGCCACTGCCTCCGAGTACGGCTGCCACCACTGTCCCTCTCTCTTGGGCTCTGGTTAGGCAGGGCGGCCTCTTAACCTCCCTCCAGTGTCACTAGGAACCCACCTCGGGGCTTCCTGGCGATCTTCGGGACTCCCCTGGAGACTGTAGCTCACTGATTAATTTACCAGGGACTAAGATGTATCTTTGACCAGGCTTTCCTTCAAATTCATATCTCTCTCTCTCTCTCTCTCTCTCTCTCTCTCCCCCCTTAGGGGGTCCCCGACCTACCCTTCATGTGTCCAAGTGGCTGGGGGGACTAGGCGGTACAGAGGGACGTCTCGCCACCAACAGTTAAAAGGATTTGTTTGAAAACTCTTTAACTATTTACAGGCATCTCCACAGTGAACGGAAGAATCAAAATAAAGGTGACAAAACCGCTCCATCTCCCCCTCCTCTGCACTCAGGCCCTGTCTGGACGCTCTGCAGGGCAGGGACATGACTTCACTTCACTGGGGAAAGTGGGATCCGCACGTCTCCCAACATGGCCCCATACAGGAGGAGGCGGCAGCAGCTAGGGTTGCCAAGTCTGACCTATGGCTGCAGCGGGGGGAGCCCTGGCCCTTTCCAGGAGTTCAAGAAGGTGACATCACCTTCATCACACCGGGCACATCTCCGCGATCCTGGCACTTTGGGGGTGGGGTTCCCCCCAGCGGCCCGATCCAAGCTGGCGGGTAAGGGACCCATCGAGCGGGTAACCACCCCGCCTCCCGGGGGACTTGGCAATCCTACCTCCTATCAAGCCCCCACCAACTTAGGCACAGCCACAAAATGGCGTTTCTCCACACCAACGCCTAAAAACCCCCCATCGATTTTGTTGAACAATTCCCTCATTTTTTAAAAAGAAAGTTGCTTAGGGCTCTCTGTCGCCTGGAGGTCTGCTGCGGTTCTTTGGAGATCTCCTGGCCTTGCCTGGACGTTGGAAGCCCAAGGGTGACGCCACCCTCCACCCTGTGAGCCTTGCACACCACAGACCGTCTTTTTTAGGGGAGAACGGCCAGGTGTCCCCTCAGGCCACCGAGGGCACCCAGACCTGGCTCTCCCTCTGTCTCACTGGCTTGGTTCAGACATCAGATTAAACCCCATTTGGATAGGAGCACAGCTTGTCTCCCAGCCGGCTTGTCCCCTTCCTCTTCCTACCCCCCTCCTCCCTCCCTTCATGCACAGAGCTTGACTGAGAACTTCCTTCGCTTGATGAAGCTCCGGTACTCTGTGATGGCGGTGCCTTTGGGCCAACCCAAAAGTCCCTTTACTCCCCGCGAGCTGGGATGCCAGACTGGGATCACGCGGAGGTCCGGCAGCCCACTTTTGAGAGGACAAACAAAGGGAAGGTCTCCGAGTTGGGAAGTCATGGTGAGCTGGAGGCTGATCCAACCGAGCAGTTTTGGATGGGGCTCTGCCGAGGGAGGAGGGGGCGCCAAGGGGGGCGGGGGGAGCACAGCAACGTGTCCAAGCTCGGTCCAGTCCAGTTTCCTTTGACACCTGACCGCAGCCATTGCCTCGTCCCACCCCCCCACCCCCTGCAGGATGCTGGTCTTCTGGACTTGGACGCTGGCCCTGGGGCTGCTGGCGGGGCGTGGGGAGGGCTTCAGCTGCACGCAAGAATTTGGAGGTAAGCAATAGGGTGTTGGGGTCTGTGTGTGTGGATGAAGGCTGGGCTGCAGCCACCACAAAAGGGAGTCCACCACTGGAGCTGTGGTGTTCCGGTTTCTGCCACACTCGGGTGTTATGACAAAGGGAACTCCTGAGGATTTCCTCCATCGGTGCACAGAGCAGAAGACTCTGAGGGACACGAGGCCCAGTCTGAGAATTGTAAATCTCCGGTGGTCTGCCTCCCTACCCCACATGCCCCACTAGACCTGCTATAACCCCCCCACACACACACTGCTCCAACTGACGTAAGGCCTGAAGCAGGGAGGAGACGTCCTGAGGATGCAGCCCCCGCTTCTCGGCAACAGCACTGCCGGGGCTCCCCTGAGAGGCAGGGAAGGAGGGAGCCATGAAAAGGCTTGAGACTGCCCAGCCCAGACAGTGGAGACTGCCGGAGTTGCCAACTCCGTGTTGGGAAATGCCGGCTTTGGGGGTGGAGCCTGGAGAGGGCAGGGCTGGGGGAGGGGAGGGCCCTCAGCAGGGCCTATGGCCGTAGAGCCCAACCTCCAAAGCAGCCATTGGCTCCAGGGGGACTGATCTCCGTAGCCTGGAGATCAACTGCAATAGCATGAGATCTCCAGGTGCCACCTGGAGGTTGGGAAGCCTAGGTATAGTGCATAGAGGCCACCCTCCAAAGCAGCCCAAACGGCTCCAGGGGGACTGACCTCCGTAGCCTGGAGGTTGCTTGTCATTCCGAAGGATCTCCAGGCCCCACCTGGAGGCTGCCACAGAAAACAGGCACTGATGACCGCTTCTGTCCCCTCTTCTTCCTCCTCCTCCTGTCATCCATAATTCCAGGCCCGAATCTGGCCAGAGGTCGGCCAACCTCCCAGTCCTCCACACACCCACACAGTGGAGCATCAGGCTCTGCTGTGGACGGGAACTGTAACGGGCTACGGCCAGCCTTGACCTGTACTCACACCGAGCGGCAGTACAGACTTTGGTGGTCGGTGGACTTGGGCAGACAATACTCCATCTCGGTGGTGGTGGTGAAAAACCGGCAGGACTGCTGTGGAGAGAGGATCCGCGGGGCCACGATCCGTGTGGGACATCGCATGGGTGACATCAGTACAAGCAGCGTGGCGTATCACATATGCCTCAGTGGCTCTCCTCCTCCCCCACTTCTCTGATCAAACTTTCCCCAAGAGATACGAATCCTCTAAAATGACAGGTTTGACCCACCGTTTCAAGGCCTTTAATTGGAATGGACATTCTGGCCCTCATTCAGTGCTGTGGACAGGGTTCCCCCTTATTGGTGGGTGATACGTTAGACCAGTCCATTTCAGACCAGGCATCTCTGTGTCAACAAACAGAATACCCAGTGGGAAGGTCTAGCACATTCATAGCCAGCTAGACAAGAAATAGCGCATAGGGATTCCGACTACTTGGGGAAGAATTTCTAGCCATCAGAATGGATGTCGCCGCATGGCTGACCCTCTTTCTCCCCTCACAGATGTGGAACCATCAAAGACCTCCGAAAAGGATCCCTCAGTACCATCTTCTGCAATGGAGCCGTGGGCCGCTACGTAACCATTGTCATCCCTGGACGGGAATCAATCCTGACTCTATGTGAGGTGGAAGTCTATGGCACCAATGCACCGCCCAATTGATGTTAGAGCTCCCAGCATTGTCGTTCCTCTGTGTGTCTCTGTGGAATCTGGTGATAAATTCCCAATAAAGTTCCTGGGAGGTGGGACTTCCACCGCTGCTAGCCAAGACGGTTTCCATGCCGAGGGTTTGCTCCGCCCCAGCCCGCAAATGAAACCTCTACACGACAAGTCATCTTCCACTCATGCGCCTTCTGTCCCCTTTTGTGGTTTCCCATGGTTCGCAGAACCTGCTAGGCTCTGCCATTTCCAGAGACAACCAAGGCAAGGGAGATTTCCCCACAGACAACACATGTGGGTTTCTGGCACCATTTCCCCTGCTTATCCCCCCGGCACCCATCAATCCCTCCCTGTCCACCAGAAGGCTTTTTGCCGACTGCCAAAAGATAGGTCATAGGTATATCACTACAGTAGTATAGCAAGACACCAACCATGGATGCTCAAAAGATGCAGACAACCCCCCCTCCACTAGCAATGGCAGCTGGAGAGCTCGAGGGGACAGGCTGGATAGAGGGGAGAAATGCCTGGCGAGACCCCCACCCTAACCTCTCTTGGCCAGTGGTTGATCCACAAAACAAAACCACATTGGAAATACTATAAATCAAATGAAAAGAAGTGAAAAGGTTTATGGATTCATGATAGGTGCATCACTTTGGTACACTAGAGTCACGATGTAAACCTGTCCACAACTGCAGGGTATGTGGTATACTCCTGCAGACGTTTTACATCGGGACCACACACTGTAGCATTCAGACAAGAATAAAAGAACATGAAAGACACTGCAGACTTGTCCAACCTGAAAAATCAGCAGTGGCTTAACACAGCTTAACTCAGACAGGACACAGTATTTTGTTCCAAGACACTGAAAGGCTGGACAACACATCCAATTACCACGTCAGATTACACAGAGAAGCCATTGAAATTCATAAACATAAACACAATTTCAACAGGAAAGAAGAGAGTTTAAAAATAAATAGGACATGGTTTCCTGTCCTGAAAAACACCAAAGGCTCTACATCTTACAATAGCACTAAAGATAAGATTAGCATTTCAACAGCCAATCCATATGCAAAAGAACCTCCTCAGGAAAGCTCCTCTATTAGCATGTCACAGCCTGGGGAACTCCTACAAGATAATGACTCAGCCCTACCCCACCTTCCTGAGTAGATATAAATTACCTGCCTACCATTTTCCTTCTCACCTTGACACTGAGAGTACTCCATCTTCCTGTGTTATACCTCTGAGGATGCCAGTCACAGCTGCTGGCGAAACGTCAGGTCCTACAGTGCCAAGACCATGGCCATAAAACCTGGGAAATCTACAACTAGTAAAGGAATTGCTCAACAGTCTCTTTATTAACAATTCTGAAGATAAATGTAAGGTCACCCCATGAAATGCAAAGTCAAATAAAGCCAAGTGGGGCACTGTCATGGATCACATGTACTTCAGTCTAGGAAGTCCACCTTTTGGACAGCTCATCTCAATGGTCAGGAATGTTGCTTTGGAACCCTAGGAAAGAAAGCAGAAGGAAGCAGAGAACTGACAGAAGAGCCGTGACTCTCAAAAGCTGATAACCGTGAAAATCCCCCCTGGTCTCTACGGCCCTCCAGGACCCCCATCTGGCTGTCCTGCGGCAGACCAACCTGGCTACCCAACTGAAACTTTCGACATGGGGTGGGGGTTCATGTGTCACACTCGGAGTGGCCTGGTCTTCGCGCACATGCCCGTTCTGTCGTGGTTAAGTGCGTGGACTCTAATCTGGGAGAACCGGGTTTGATTCCCCACTCCTCCACTTGCACCTGCTGGATGACCTTGGGCAAGCCATAGTTCTGATAAGAGCTGTTATGAAAAAGAGCATTTCCTGTCAGAGCTCTCTCAGCCCCACCTAACTCACAGGGTGTCTGCTGTGGGGAGGGGAAGGGAAAGGAGTTTGTCAGCCGCTCTGAGATGCTCCTTCGCTGGATGTTTTCAAGTGGAGGCTGGACGACCATCTTTCGGGTATGTTGTAGGTATGTAGGGCTCTCTTTCGGCTGTGCTCCTGCAGAGTGCAGGGGGTTGGACTAGATGACCTGCAAGGTCCCTTCCAACGCTAACATTCTACGATTCTATAATTTAATAAAAATGATTAAAATGCAAAACAACAAAATGAGCTGCCCCAGGCAGAAGGCACTGCAGCCGTCCAGTCTAGGGCTTCCATCCCACATGGATCAGGACTTGGCAGGCCTCAAAAGACTCAGATTCTCAGGTATTCGTGTCCCCCCTCCCCCAAAATCCCTGTGCAGATTGATTCCAAAGGCAAAATTTTGATACGGGTGTGCACAAAATAAGATGGTAATAGGTGGTGAGACGGAGAGGGACCCACACGCATGAGCACCACCGAGGCTGGAGGACTCTTCAGTGACCATCTGTGGGTGTCCTTTGCCTTGTATGAAGACTCACCTGTCGTTCTGGGGGACAGTCTACCTGAGCAGGCAGCCAGTCCACACTGAGAAGAGTGCTTTGCTGCCCTCTGCTGGAAGAGTTGGGTTATTGCAGCACCTGACCTTTGGTGACCAACATGGGTGGATCCCAATGGGGTGCCCTCAACCGTCCCTTTAGGGTGTGCGGCTGCAGCAGCCGTGGTTTAAAATGGGCCAAACTGGAAAAGGCCACACAGAGGCATATGTCAGCAGTCAGACCTCTCCTCTCGCTGAGGGGCATAACATAAGAACATAAAGGATGCCAATGTTGGATCAGGCCAAAGGCCCATCTAGTCCAGCACTCTGTCACACAGTGGCCAAAAATACCAGGTGCCATCAGGAGGTCCACCAGTAGGGCCAGGACATTAGAAGCCCTCCCACTATTGACTCCCCCAAGCACCAAGAAGACAGAGCATCACTTGCCCCAGAGCCCCTACCTATACCTTGTGGCTAAGAGCCACTGATGGACCTCTGCTCCATATGCCTATCTAATTCTCTTTTGAAGCCGTCCATGCTTGTAGCCGCCACCACCTCCTGTGGCAGTGAATTCCATGTGTTAATCACTCTTTAGGTGAAGAAGTACTTCCTCTTATCCGTTCTAACCCGACCGCTCAGCAATTTCATGGAGTGCCCACGGAGTTCTTGTATTGTGAGAAAGGGAGAAAAGTCCCTCTTTCTCTACCTGCTCTTTCCCATGCATAATCTTATAAACCTCAATCATGTCTCCCCTCAGTCGTCGTTTCTCCAAGCTAAAGAGCCCCAAGCGCTTTAACCTTTCGTCATAGGGAAAGTGTTCCAACCCTTTTATCATTCGAGTTGCCCTTTTCTGCACTTTTTCCAAAGCTAGAATATCCTTTTTAAGGTGTGGTGACCAGAACTGCACACAGTATTCCAAATGAGGTCTCACCATTGATTTATATAGGGGCATTATGATATTTGCTGATCTGTTTTCAATACCCTTCCTAATAATACCCTTCTATGGCTAGAAAGCCATAGAACGCCCTTCCTACAATATCATTTCAAATATCATACGTGCGATACACTGCATGGCCCAAAATGACACAAAACGGATGCCAGCCAGAGACAAGCCTGGACATGCAGTTTAGAAATGTAAGAGCGGCTGGCCAGGTAACAACCTCCTCCATAGTCCCCACCATAGAGACACATAATTTAGGACAATGGTTCTCCCAAGAACCTAGAATCACACAGAGTTGGAAGGGTCCCTAGAGGCCATCTAGTCCAACCCCCTGCTCAGTGCAGGGTCAGCCTAGAGTACCCCTGACAAGGGTTTGTCCAGACGCTGCTTCAAGACTGCCGGGGAGGGGGGGGCACAGCACCTCCTGAGGCAGTTGATTCCACTGTTGCACAACTCTGACTGTGAATAAGTTTTCCCTAATATCTAGCAGGTACCTTCACACCCTTAATTTAAACCCACAGTTGCAAGTCCACTCCTCTGCTGCCAACAGGAACAGCTCCCTGCCCTCTTCTAAGTGACAGCCCTTCAAATATGTTGTCAAAGGCTTTCACGGCCGGAGTTCATTAGCTGTAGGTTGTCTGGGCTGTCTGGCCGTGGTCGTGGCATTGTAGGACCTGACGTTTCGCCAGCATCCTCAGAGGTATAACACTGGCATCCTCAGAGGTATAACACAGAAAGATGGAGTACTCTCTGTGTCAAGGTGAGAAGGAAAATGGTAGGCAGGTAACTTATATCTACTCAGGAAGGTGGGGTAGGGCTGAGTCATTATCTTGTAGGAGTTCCCCAGGCTGTGACATGCTAATAGAGGAGCTTTCCTGAGGAGGTTCTTTTGCATATGGATTGGCTGTTGAAATGCTAATCTTATCTGTAGTGCTATTGTAAGATGTAGGGCATTTTGTGTTTTTCAGGAAGAGAGTCTAAAAATAAATAGGGCATGGTTTCCTGCCCTGAAAAACACAAAATGCTGTACATCTTACAATTCCATGGTAAAGAAGTACTTCCTTTTATCCGTTCTAACCCGACCGCTCTGCAGTTTCATGGAGTGCCCACAAGGAGTTCTTGTATTGTGAGAAAGGGAGAAAAGTACCTCTTTCTCTACCTGCTCTTTCCCATGCATCATCTTATAAACCTCGATCATGTCACCCCTCAGTCGTCTTTTCTCCAAGCTAGAGCCCTAAGCGCCTTAACCTTTCTTCCTAGGGAAAGTGTTCCAACCCTTTTATCATTCTAGTTGCCTTTTTCTGCACTTTTTCGAATGCTATATCCTTTTTGAGGTGGGGTGACCAGAACTGCACATAGTATTCCAAATTAGGTCACACCATCGATTTATACAGGGGCATTATGATACTGGCTGATTAATTTTCAATTCCCTTCCTAATAATCCCCAGCATAGCGTTGGCCTTTTTTCTTGCAGTCGCACACTGTCTCGACATTTTCAGTGAGTTATCTACTACAACTCCAAGATCTCTCTCTTGATCAGTCTCTGCCAGTTCAGACCCCATCAACATGTATTTATATTTAGGATTTTTGGCTCCAATGTGCATCATCTTGCACTTGGCCACACTGAA